GTGCTGACTTCAGTGGGTTAAATGCCACCCCTACCCTGGAGCCGTATTCACAGCACAGCAAAAGCCCGCTGGGATGAATGCCTCTCAACTATTTGAAATAAGCTCTTGAAAAGCCAGCATTTCCCTAACTGCTCCCAGGAACATCAAAGTTTTGTGACATGTTCGTAGAATTTCATTTAGAAAAAATGCTACCATATTTTTTTTCTTCTAAGATTTATTCTATAAACATGTAAGAAAAGCTCTACATTATCGTCGGGTAGATTACACAACAGTCTGCCTTGAAGCCAGTACGCTGTTCTCAAGAAAATCAAAGACATTCTGTCCTTTCAGTTCCTCAAAGAGAAAAAAAAACGGTTTAACTTCGTTTACTTCTAGTAAATGTAAGATTTAAAAGCAAATATTTATACATCAAACTTATTTGTGCAGTAATTAATTAATCTGTGAAGTCATGATTTGCTGTTAACTTTAATCCAAATTGCCCATAGCATTTCACCAAAACTTCACAACCGCTCAGCCTGAGAGCGGGAAGGCTACTTGAGGCAAAGGAGCTGCTGCCGGAACGCGTTCTGTTTCTTTTCGCCTTCTTTGCACTGCTGTCACCTTCCTCCCCAGCTGGATCAGATGCTGAGACTGGCCCAGCAGTTCCTCTCTGGGGCCTCTCATCCACCTGCCAGCTTCCTTCCTGCCCTCCTAGGGGCAGGTGAAAACTTTCTAAAAAAATATTCTGGGCCATCTACATGATTCTCCAGCAAATTCTTTACAGAGCTGAGTCACTTTCAGCACAGATATGGCCAGATCATTGAAATTTGATTTTATGGAGGTCTAATTAATAGACTGTTTCTTATGCAGTACAATTTATGCATTTGTGAAGAATCTTCCTCTTTTTGAATCTGGAGGTCTCAGCTAGAAGGAGACCAGCCTGCAGACAAAGGTGCCAGGGCTGGGCTGGGCTACTGCAATTCATTCATTTACCAAACACTTTCTAGGCACCACTTACTCCCTCCGGGCTGGCCGGGTGAGAGGAACAGAGGTAACAACATGAAGATGCCTGCTCACTAGGGGCTGCCAGCAAGGAAAAATAAACATGAAAATACGGTGTCGTGCGTACAAGGCAGGACTACGAGGAGCAGCCTGTAAGAGGGCTCTGGGGCCTCAGCACAGAGCCATTCCCGCAGCTGGGGGGTTTACAGTCAGCGCGTGTCTAGGGGGAGGCTGCCAGCTGCCAGGCAAGGTCCTCGGGCTGGGAGCCCCCGGGACAAGCCGGATATGGCCCTGCTCTCACGGAGCTCACAGACTAGCAAGAAGACAAAGTAGGAGCAGGGAAGTGCAATGCAGGGTGCAGGGGTGCTGGCTTGGGGGTACAGAGATTTGGCATGACACACACATTTCACTTAGGCAAACATAATGGTATTTGTCTGAAAAAGTTAGGGGGAAAAAAAGACAAGGAAAAAGGAAAATAATTTTAAGTCACCTGGGCCACTGCCGCTGCCCTCCACCCTCCAGGCAGACGGGCAGGAGGGCCTGTGGCGAGCTGCGCCTGCTGCTCCTGTGGCCTGACTCGGTTCCCAAGAGCCTCTTCAACAGCGAACTGCTCACCTAGTGTGAGTCTAACACCTAAAATAAGCGTTTTTTGCACAACACGGCCCTAACTGCAAGGTAACCACTTCTCCTGGTGCTCAACCAAAGAAACCATGATCTTCTCCCACACGGGCAGGAACCAGCTGGGCTGGACTTCGCGACCATGGTCCTCAATGTGGCACCTTCCTCACCGGCTCCAAGGGCAACTGTGGTCACATTCAGTGCTTATCTTAGGCGTGATTTCTAACCTAACCCTGGAATGTAACGAGACTCCTTTGTGGCGGTACGGGGGACACTGGGTCTGGAAGTCGCAGTGGCTTCCTGGAGAGGTCTGCAAGTCTTGAGGAGGAGGGAGAAGAGAAGGCAAAGGTGAGGTGGGATGAGGAGAGGACCAAGGGGTGTGTCGCTGGGGGAGGAACAGCACTCAGCAGAGCCTGGGAGGCTGGTGAGGTCAAGACAGGTCCAGGAACTAGTGAGCAGAGAGCAGGGGAGGGTGGGGAGAACCGGCCAGAGACACCGCCAGAGGCTAGCTGCTGGCCAGTCCTGTGAGCTGTTAAAGGAGTTTAGAACTTATTCCAGTGGCAATGGTGAAGCTTTGGAAAGATTTTAGGTGGAGGAATAACAGGACTACCTTCTTCAGAATGTTCATCCTAAAGCTCATGCAAAGATGCCCAACACCATTAGTCACCAGGGAAAAGCAAATCAAAACCACAATCAGATACCAATTCACGCCAGAAAATAACAAATGCTGACGAAGATGTGGAAAAACTGGAACGCTCATACATTGCGGGGGGAATGGACACTGACACAGCCACTTGGAAAAACAGTCTGGCAGTTCTTCAAAAGGTTGAAGACAGAGATACCACATGACCCAGTAACTCCGCTCCTAGGTATGTAACCCAAGAGTAATGAAAACGTATGTCCACGTACAAACTTGTACATGAATTTTCATAGCAGCAGTATTCATAAAAGCGCAAAAGTAGAAACAATCCAACTGTCCATCAACTGATGAATGGATAAACAAAATATGGTACATCCATACAATGGACTATTACTCAGCAGTAAAAAGAAATGAAGTACTGATACATGTTACAACATGGATGCACCTCAAAAATATGTTTTGTGAAAGAGCCAGTCACAAATAGCGACAAAGTGTGATTCCCATTTAGATAAAGTGTTCAGAATAGGTAAGCCCATCGAGACAAAAAGCAGTTAGTGGCTGCCAGGGGAAGGAGGGAATGGGGTACTGCTAATGGGTACAGGGTTTCTTTCTGCTGAGGAAAATGTTCTAAAATTGATTACGGTGATGGTTGCACAACTCTGAATATACTAAAAGCCATGGAAATGTACACTTTAAATAGGTCAAGTGTATGCTGTGTAAATCATATCTCAATAAAGTTGATAACAACACCAAAAGTTCATCCCAGCCGCAGCGTGCAGAACGGAGAGGGAGAGACAGGGCTGAGGGACCTGTCGAGAGGCTGCTGCAGGGAGGGCCGGGGAGGAGGCAGTGGCTGAACACAGGGGAGGGGCCCAGGGGGTCAGACCAGAGGCGGCCAGGGCCTCACAAGCTCTCCCGGGTAGCTGGTACCTCTCCTGACAAGGAGAGTGAAAAACAGAAATGAGGTTATCTGCAATTGTTACCAAGCGGCAAAAACGTTATCTAAAATCTCCACTGTGTGAAGACTAAAAGGAATACGAAGAGTGTGCAGCCCTGCTGCCCTCAGGCACCAAGAGCATCCAGATAAAAGCATGCTGAGTTGCCACCAGGGGACGGTCCTGCCTGCCCATCCTCGCTCCCAAACTCCTAAGAAAGGGCCTGGGTATCCGGAGCATGTGGAAGATGTTACAAGATCTGAGAGCCTGAATATGGGCTGAAAAGCGACAGGCAAAGGCCAATAACTTTGGGAAATACTCTTAACATCTCCAAAGGTGATTTTTTAGGTTCTGTGTGTTTGTGAGAACTGCAAGGCTGCTGAAGTGGGCATTTTCTTGATTGGGTTAAAGACCCAGCTTTAACCACACACCACCACCCTTCCTCAAAGTCTTCCTTGACCTCTAGCGGGAGACTGGTGAGGGCTAAAAAGCCTGGGACACATGGGCCTGAACCACTGGTGGGGAACACAGAAGTCTAAGAAGGGGCGTTTTCTGAACCCCACAGAGACCATATCAGTGGGGACCCTGGCCACAAGGACACCTCTGTCTCACAATTAGACCCAGAGACTGGGATGGGAATGGGGTGGGGGTAAGTTCCCATTCACAACCTCGCGCACACCCTCAGTTGTCTCCTCGCCCCTCCCTGCACCTGCAGCAGAAAGCGGCGCTGGCCAGCCCACTGCAGCCGCAGCTCTGGGAAGAGCAAAGCACCGCCAAGACGCACCAGCGGAGCCAGCAGCTCTGACACCGGCCCATTCACCTGCTAGATGGGGAAACCGAGGCCCAGGCCTGTGGAACAGAGCCAGGGGTTGGCATCCAGGTCCGACTCTCCGGCCCCTGCACTTCTCACTTGACCAACCCCCAAAACCCTGCCCCCTCCTCAAGGACCTGGCTCTCATCTGTGTGTTCACAGGCAAACAGCTGGGAAACCTCAGAAACTTTAGGTCTTAACTGGCAGAGAAACCAGAACCATCTCTTTCCGAGAATCCTATTAGGAAGCTGAAACATACCATGGCTAAGCGCTCTGATCTTCCTAGAGGGAGGGGAAAGCAGGTTAAACAACAAAACATGGACAATACAGCTTCTGTGGCAGCCCTCAAGTCTCACAGCCCTTTCCTTTCTAACAACAGCGTTCATTCTGCCTTCAGTCACACCACAGTGCCAGCAACTGTCAATGGGACCACGAGCTCACCACGAGTAAAGATCTCTACAACCCAGAGCTGCACTAGGCACCAAACACTCCAGACAGGTGAGGAGTTGCGACATCACAAAAGGGACAGAGGCTTATTCTCCCTAACTCCTCAGTTCTACTGAGTTGAAGAGAAACACTATTTTTAAGCCTGCAGAGGTATACAAACACTAAAACACTTCAATATAAAAATCAGATAGGAAGACAAAATAACCTACTGCCTTTTTGTGGTAAACTCATTTGAAAGAAGTTTTAGAAATAAACGAACTAAAATTTCTATCACTATAACCTTATTTGCGAGTTTTGAATGATGTCTTCAGGTGCCAGAACTTAGAGACAGAAAGAATAAGTATCAGCGTGTCACTTCTGAAGTAACAATAAACACCCAGTTCCCATCACAGATGGGTTTTTTTCCCTACAGTGACCCCAAAGCAAGATGAACTCTACATACAACAGACTACACAGTTAGGATCATTTAAAAATAATGAGACTCCTCTCTTTGCCTTCTTCCAAAGTATATAATATATATTTAACAGCACATTAGAAGACACCACTTGAGCTTCCCTTGTAGCCAACAGGAAGTATTTTCACATATAAAAATTAAAAATTTAAACTTTTAAATCATTATTATTTTTTCAACATAATACAGACATAAAAATTGTTCAACATTAACCCATGACCCCGCCCCTAGCACAAAAATCCACCCCAAATCCAGAAGTCACAGTTTTTTGCTCCTAAAAATCCCACAGCACTGAACTTGATCTTCACTTCAAGCTGATGGCTAACGAGAGGCCCCTGACAGAGACCCCCAGGGAGGGAGGAAGGGCGGGCGACGCTGCGGCTCGTATCTACCTGGGCGGCACGGCTGCACCTCTGAGGTCAGGTCCATGAGATTCGGCCCCCACACTAGGGTCCTGGAAGGGTGAGCTGGCAGCTTCCCTCATCTTCCCCCTCGAAGGCTGTCCAATAAGCACCTGGGAATTGACTTTTCTTGGGAAAAGGGTGCTGGTAACAGCTGTCAGGGCCAAGGCAATAGTGAGAAGTTCAGTTCTCTGCTCTTTGGATGAACTGTGTAAAACATTTCTTTTAAAAGACACAATGTTAAAAATATTAAGAAAAATGTCTACAAAATCTGGAGGGCTGCCTTTTCCTCAAAGGGTAAAGCTTGAGGGGTGATGGGAAAAGAATTGAGGGCCCAGAACTATCACTCTGCAGCAAAAGACTAGATAGATGCCCTTCAAAACACGTCACATTCTTAAGACATCTTGCCGAAGCAGCAAGAGCGAGGGTGACCGCGTAAGAACGGGAGGGGCGCCAACTCCCACAGAGAGGGTTCCTACTGTGCGCCCCACCCTGCGCAAGAATGTCAGGCTTCAGGGCAGCTGCCTTGGCCCCAAGGGCATCAGGACTCTGCCTCTGAACCAGAGCTGCTTTCCCGACTAACTTCAATCTGGAGAGATGGTAAGTTATCTAACCGGCTCTTCTTTTGACGAGACTGTTCTTTCTCCTTAATCAGAGCCCCCCATGCCCTTTGCAGCTCCGAGTCATCTTCCTCAGTGCCGGGAGCCCTGTGATCCACTTTCTTCGGGTTCTTTTCTTTGGTCTTGGGTGCAGATCCTAAGCGAGTCCATAAACTACCTGTTTGGGTGAGAAGGTATTTCAGCTTTGGCAGTGGATGCTGAGGAACAGGCTGGTGCTGAGGAAGCAGGGGAAACACTGGGGGATCTGTGGCATTAGCAACCACGGGGTGCCCTTGGGCAGATCATCTCGCTTCCCTGGCTGTAGCCTCCTGCCGGCAGACTGAGAGAACTGGACCCAGCAGGGGAGTTTACAGCGTGGGTACAGGTGCGCCCCCACCCCTACACTAGGCATCTCAGAATCAACAGGCAGGAGGCTTGTGCTACCCTCGCCCCTCCCTGGGGAGACTCCCCACCCCGTGTCCGGAGTGGGCCGTCGCAGCTTGTTCCTAACTACAACATTCTGCAAACTGATGGGCCTGCTACGCTGCACACTTTCAGATTTTGTCCACACTCTATTAATTTTTAAAGTATTAATATTTAACAATAGAGAAATACGTGTTTAGAATTTCATCGCCTAGCCACACTACAAGGCAATTAAAAGTTTCATTTGTAAAGACTATAACAGTGTGGAAAAATGACTATGATAAAATGCTGTATGAAAAAAGCAAGATATGTATATGGACAAAGACTGGAAGAGTACACACGAAACTAAAAAAGTATTTGTACTAAACAAAAACATTCAAGGATGGTTTTTTCCCATTTTCTAAATTTTCCATACTGATGATGATGACAATGATTATAACGCAAGGGGAAAATTCACTTCTGGTATATGCTGTTTCCTACCTCTGCTACACCCACTGTCTCTGTCCTCACCCAGTTTCCACGCCCATCAGTTTAAGTGTTACCAACCTGATTTCTTCTCCCGCGTGTCAGAGTAGAGGCCTTTAACATCTTGCCTGGGAACACCTAGCCTACTATGTACATCAGAAAAGGGCTCTCTCCGAACGACTGGGTTACTACTAAAAGCCTTTTCCGGAGAATACGGTCTTTTTCCTAATCGCTGGCGTATATCTAGAAAAAGAAAAGTACTACCGTGACCATGCACATATGCTTTGCAGTCTGTACTGTCAAGCTGAGGTCCCTCCAGGACCTGGAGCCACACATCCCCGCGTGAGGATAAGGGGCCTGACACAGCAAGCTTCTAAGAGCCTTCCCTCTGTGCAGTAAGTCTGGATTCCCCCATGAAAATTCAAATGAGAACCCCCAGGAGATGGCAGCGGGGGGGGGGGGCGCGGATCTAGGCTGACTGCTCCAGAAGGGAACTTCTGAGGCAGAATCGACTGTTTTGTGTGGCTTTTTTTGTCTTCAGTAGAATCAAACAGAGTAACTAATTTACAAACATTTCAGCTAACAAGAAATACTGCAAGCTCCCTGAGGGCAGAAGCTGCAATCTTTGAACAGTAAGAAGCTCTCAATAAGCTATTACATTGAACAATGAATGTAATGAGACTGACAAAAAGCAAAGGATCAAGGGAGGATGTCCCAAATCAAATTTGTTTTTCCTTCAACACACCCCCCCACCAATCCCCAGCCTAGAAATCTGCCTGTCCTGAGGAGCTCCCTCTCACTATAACAGCAACAAAAGCACATTTATTAGCAAGTCATCATGCTGGGCTCCCACCATGTTGCTGCTTCTCTCTAGAATAGCATCCCCATCTTTCAGTCCCTCAGGGCTGAGCCCCTTGGCTTCTCTCCCTTTCCTCCCACACTTCCTAGTGCCAAGTCTTCCTCCTTTAGAAGGAATGACACTCTCGTCAATTCTGTTCCCAATCTAGTTCAGGCCCTTGTCATTTACTTCACTCTCTATCGCATCCTACTCTGCCATCAAGTTATCTTTCCAAAATAGACATGAGATTAGGTTACTTCCCACCTCAAAAAACTGAGATCCTATCTCTTCTTCAAGGCCTCGCTCCACAGCCACGTTCTCTGAGAAGCCTTCCACAACAGACCTTCCCCAGTAGACCCACCTCTCCTCTCTGCTCCCACAGCCCACTGCGCACACTGCCCTCCCAGGGCACTTACTTCATTCTGCTTTGGGTGGAATTATCTGAACGTGTGCCTTTATGTTTTCCCATTTGAGTTCTACGAGGACTTTGCATCCCCTGCGAGGACTTCTAACACTCTCAGCACCTAGCCTGGCACATTGCAGGCATGGCCAAGTACCCGCCACGTGCGTGTTTGCACACATAAGCTAGCCAGTTCAAATTCTTGACTATTTATACAACAACCCAACTTAATTTCTATTATCCTTATGTATAAAGTACACCAAAGACATTCACAGTAGAATACTTATTTGGGACAAAAAATCTTGAGAGCTGGTATTGCAAATGTCTGATTAAATTTCATACCCTGAAGTTCCAATATCTAACCCGACATTTTAAGTGATGAATCAGGACAACTAAATTGGTCCACAAATGACAGCGTTTAATCCAAGAACCTATCCTTGCCTGAATCTGCTTTCTGGAACTCAGAATGAAACCCAGGAACACAACTGACCAATAATACCTGTTTTAGTGCTGCTGCCCGGTGGCCGTGGACGTGGGTGTTGACGTTTTTCATCTAACAAATGTCGGACATCTGCAAATTTCTCAGATGGTAATTTGTTACCAATTCGGTTTTTTATATTGCTTGTGGATAGAGTATCTGACCTCATGGAGTTCCTTTAAATAAAGGGGTGGGGAGGGCACAGTAAATCAATTTCAACTGTGGGATAACACTCACACAACAATCTCATAGGCTTTGGAAAAAACAAATTAAGAAACCCAATCTAATATGGCCAACATTCACTTACAAATACCACATACCAATAGTTACTTGTTTATAAAAGTCACAATCAGCCGGCTGCAAAGAGGCCAGCTGGGGCGAGCAGGTCCTTGGGTTTTCTGGGGTGGTTTCCACACATGGCCCCTGTGCGCTACTGTTGAGTAATTATGAGTCCTCTTCTCCAGGATAGACGTTAAGGAGAGGCCTGCAAAGGGCTGGCAGCCTCTGCTCACGCAGGCTGTGCTCTGGATGCAGTCTAGACACGACCAAGTCTACAATGCCTGTCTTTAGAGGGCAGACGTCTCTGTCAAAGACACCTCCCTGAGGGGACGAGCCATACGCTGGCAGCATTTCCCATCAGAAAGGTCTCTACAAGCTAAAAGTAAGGATGTGAACAAAGCCATACAAACAAACCAGCCTGAAAGTTGATTTCCTCGTTTCCCAAACACATCATCAAGAACACCTGGCGGGAGTACCCCTAGGCTCCAGCCCTCTGAGCTGTGCGTAGGCGACCCGCCCTCAGGAATCTGCTTAGCTTCACTAGTCATCAAAGAGATGCATTTTAAAATAACTGTAACTTTTTTTGCTCATGAATAGCAAAAATCAAAGTGATAATACCGAAGGGTGGTGAGTATGCAGGTAACAGGTGGTAATGCAAGAGAGTAAAAGCTTCCTGCAAGGAATTTAGCAGTGGAGGAGCAATACCACATTTTAAAACATACACCATTTTGTGCAATAACTGAAATTTATCTAGTTAGTGCAACAGTAAGAAAACAGAAATCTAAATGTCTGTCAGTAAGGGACTGGTTAAATAAATCATGGCACTTTCAAACAATGAACTACCTATGGTTGAAAAAACAGCAGCCATCTATAATAAGTAGATGGAAAAAGCATATTTCAAAACAATGTAAATAGTATAACTTCATTTTTGTACAAATGTAGCTGTAATTTCTCCATGTGTTACATGCGCACATAAAAGCAGCAGGAAGGTTATTCATCCGTTGCTAACAGCAGTCCTCTTAGGAGAAGATGAGATTCCAGGTCTTTCACTTTCTACATAGTCCACAGCTTTTATAACAAGGATCACTTCTTACATATTAAGGGGAAAAATCAGATGCTTTTACTCAAGTTCTACAAAGGACTGAAATCTGAATAGATAAAAGGGATTATAAAATTTGGAGGGATTAAGAAAAAGTTAACATTTAAATCAAATTAAAAGCTAGCATCGATAGAAAGAAAAAATATTTTTACCTGATATTTTTCAACTGGGATTCCACTTCATCAGCATACATCGTCATTTTCATGCTTTTCTTTGGTGAAGGAGTGGAAATCATTTTCAGTTCCAGATCATAGTCCATTTCATCGGAGTCTGAGCTGCTGGCACTGGATCGCCTCGACGTGCTCCGCTCCCGAGTCTGCTTGAGGGCTGGGACCTCCTCGTGGTACTCCACCACCACCCTGTCGTCCGCGTCCATGTCCTGGTCCTCCTCCTCCTCCTCCTCTTCCTCCTCTTCAATGGGTTCCTCGGGAACATTCACTAGTCCTAAGGGATTTAACCAAAAAACATTAGGGAAAGTGCTAAAACTAACAAGTCCGATTTTCTATTCTATGTCGGTAAACGTTTTAAAAGATGGGATTCCCATCCTAAGAGTTTACTGGAGCATTATCTATAGCAGTGCTAACCTGTTACCATTCTGACCCCTACAACACAAGAACAGCTAGGTAAAGTAGGGCCTAGCAGCCTGATGCAGTATTGTAAAGTTATCTAAAATACAGTCCATCATCATTTCTCAGATTCTATACTTGGGAATTTTCCAAATCCATTCATAACTCCAGAATCAATACCTATGTGCTTCTGTGGTCATTTGTGGACATGCACAGAGCAGCAGAAAATCTGAGGCACTCGACACACATGTTCCCACCAGAGGGCAAACAAGGCCATGCCTTTTTGTTTCCATCTCTCACACTGAAACAAGTGTCCTTTCTGCAGCCTAGTGAGTGCTGCTTTTTAACATTTTTGTAGCTTTTTATTGGTGATTTCACTGCTTAAAACAGCCTCTAAGCATAGTTCTGAAGCTGTCTAGTGTTACCAAGCATAAGAAGGCTATGATGTGCTTTATGGAGAAAACCCGTGTGTCAGATAAGCTTTGTTCGGGCATGCGTTACAGTGCTGTTGGCCATGAGTCCAATGCTGATGAACCAACCTATGTATCAAATAAGGTCTCTTTAAACAGAAACACACACCAAACAAGGTTGTATGTTGATCAGTTGATGAAAATGGTGTGACCAGAGTCTCTGAATGGTTTGGTATTTGCTACTTCTATGATCATAGTGATTTCACAGAAAATAACCACCACAAATAATGAAAATCAACTGTACGTTTAAAGGTCACGGAAAAATGCTTGTAAGTGGAAGAAGTAGAATATAAAACAGACGTCTTCAACAGTTATTAAAATACTTATTGTGAAAAAAGAAAATAGGAAAAACGTAAAATGAAATCAGTTATTGCAGAGCACTAGAATTAGAGGCAATTTGCTTTTTAATTTCTTTAATATGAATATAAAAATTACGTGATGAAAATATCTTAAAGCAACTGAAATTGGAAAACGAAAACTGTGTTAACAGAAAAGTACCTGCATTAAGATGCAGATTTCATATAATGATTTGTAATGGAAAAAAGTCTGAAAAAAAATGTATGTAAATGTGTAACTGAATTGCTTTACTGTATACCTGAAACTAACATTGTAAACTACACTTCAATAAAAAATAAGAATTAAAAAAAAAAAGATGCAGATTTCAAATATGCAAGTTTGGATATTCACATTAAATTAAAATGTATAGATTTCACCTCTCCCTGTCCCTATTTACAATGATAAATGTGAATGCACGTTACTCCATGTTTGTACGCTGACTTGGCTGGTTCTACAAAGCACACAGAAGATCTCACAGGACTCACAGATATCTCTCAAAATTAAAACAAATTTTTATAAAGCATAATGAAAATGGTTCTTTTACAACAAGCACCAAAAGGAAGGAAAAAGAGGAGGGAGGGAGGGAGAAAGAAAAGCAGAAAGAAAGAAAGCAGAAACTAAATGAAACCCAAGTCATGGTCTTCCACTTAACTGAGGCAGTCACGTGCACAAGCCAACAAGCACGGAACACTAGACAGAGCAGCCTATTTTCATCATCAGACAAAGAAACAATAAAATCAACTCATCTGACAAAATACATTTAAACAATTTTTTTCATGCAGCTTTTGATGTTAATTGAAAAATGAGATTCCTAAGAAAAGCTTTAATTTTTCCTACATTTGGCCTTTATTGTTAGAACAGCTTTTATAAAATCATTTGACCTCTTTGTATGGGCAATTTAAAATTAACTGTGACTTGACTTACTTTCCTATATGTTGGCAGAGGGTGAGGGCAAGGAAGAGAGGATGATAAAGTTTGGAACCTTAAAAGACTGTGTTAAGAATAAAAATACGATTTCGGGAGCCAAACATGTGTCTACCCAAGAGCTGAGCAGGCAACTACCGGAATGTCGGTGTTTATAGGACGTCAAGCCAACGTCGTCCCCAATCAGGGCTCTCTTCTTGATCACATCCCGCTGAATGCGACGGGAATGGTACCTTCGCTTCCTGCACATTGCCAAAATAAGAACATAATCAAAAACCAACCTTGAAATCCACAAATTAACATCAGCTACACACTTTCACAATGTTAGGTAATGAAACAGAGACATTTGAAGTGAACCTGAAACTCAGCTTTCTCACACCATCTACCATAGTTAAAAATCTTTAACTCCTTCTTCTTGTCTTCCTTCAGGGCTACACATGGTATTGACATCCCACTGCAGAATACCAGGAAGGACTGAGAAAAGCTTAAGTACCATTTAAATTGTTGCATTTTAAGGTTTTGGACTTACCAAGAATTACTAAGAATTCCTTTCATGCCTCCATAATTTGGATTCCCGTATTTCATGTAATACTGACTTCTCCTTGCTGCTCCAAGTTCCTTTTTGTCATCTAAAAGTTAATTACAACAGTTATGACGATTTTCTGTGGGTGTGAAGTTGAATCAGTTAAAAAAAAAAGAATGCCCTACAGAGCTAGGATCAGATCAGCACAATCTGCCAACAAAAGGGGAAGACGCACGGTACACATTCACCCTCTGGATGCCTACTAATGCAGTGCAGTGTGGAGAGGGTGGAGTGAAATTCAGAGATGAATGAGGTTAAGCTGCTGTTAAGGAGCTGACTGACCTCACAGAGAAATACTATTTTAAAAAACTGAAACAATACAATATAGCAGGTTCTAAGAAGCGTAAAACAGCTTCAGTCATTACTAGTGTTCAGGAATCAAAAAGGTTTTAGAAGAGGTAGCATTTTTAGTGCCCCCCAGAATGAAAACACTCCAATAACACAGATTCGGGTTAAAGAAACAGATTATACCTAAATCCATATACTTGGGAAGCCATTTTTTTCTCCATTTGATCGTGATGTTCCTCAAAACAGCTAAAGGAAAACAGCATAGCAACGTAGATCTATAATGCACTCAAATGGCCCCTCAAATAAGTAAATGTAGAAAAGATCCCACTGATCAAGTTAAAATGTTAATAGGAAGAACAGGTGGTCGGTGACCATCCATATTTTAGGTCTCTGACAGCTTCCCGGGCACCCACTGACTGCAAGGATGAGGAAGTACCCAGTGCTGCAGGTAAACTTAGTGGCATAAACCAGAAGTTTCACCCTAGGGAAAACATGCCCACCAGCTTCTTGGAGAAATGGCTGATTCCAGATCTGGGGCAGGGACAGTACAAGCTGAGTCTGGAAAAACAAGATGTTTTATTGTGCCATAAAGGAAGAAAGTGCTCAAAGAAAGAGGCAGGCATGTCAAAGGAACACAGCTTGAAGGGGAGCTACTGGCCAAATCCAAGATAATCTGTGAATCAAAACAGCAATAGAATGCCTGAGACTCACTAAATAAAATAAAACTTCATGAATCTAAACTGATATAAATTAAGTAGGTAAATGGGTAAAAATGGGAACATTTTTTCCTTACAAAAGACTGCCAACTAATAAAGAGAAGTTTAAAAAATCATGAATGGATGCTAAAGCGATTGCATGCAAGTTTGATGAGCAACAGGCTGTTTACATAATCTCAAAGTATCTCCCCACAGATCTTTAACTTATAAATGGAAAAGAAGTAACTTTACAGTGGAGAAACCTGGCAACCATTACCTTAACCAAGTGATGAAGGTTAACATCCCCACAAATGGCACAAATAAATACAATGTGCCTGCTGATGTGATGAAAACGACACGACATCACTTCTGTGATATTTTTGCCTAAAGTGCACAACCTGAATCTAACGAGGAGACATCAGACAAACCGAAACTGAGGGGCAGCTTGTAAACTGATGACCCTGTCCCCTTTAAAAATGTCTTAGTCAAGGGAGACAAAGCAGAGGAGCAGTTCCACACTCAGGGAGACAGAGGAGACATGGCATACTTCAACACCCGGTCCTGGAGTGGATCCTAGTTTAGTGGGGGAGTAGTACAAAGAATGATCCAGATTTATTTGACAATCATCATCATCAACAAGAACTTCTAACACTTACAGAGCACTCCCTGTGTGACAGGCAGTTTTAATATAAAGAGAGGGGGAACTACTGGTAAAATCTGAATGTGGATTATGGATTAGGTAATAGCATTGTATTAAAGTTAAATTTCCTGATTTTGGTAACTGTGTGTAAGACAAAGTCCTTGTTCTTCAGAAATACATACTGAAGTATTCAGGGATGTAAGGGTTGTCACCTCCAATTAACTCTCAATTGATTCAAAACACATATATACATATATTATTAACGCATACCAAAATCACTGTGCATAAAAGCCTTATAAATTGTTAAAAGGCTCTTAATTTTAATTCCTCAGAGAATTAGAGTTGAATGTCACCATTAGCAATTTCCAGGAAGATACTGCTGTGATACATAAAATATAATTTTAAAAAGTTTTCACAGTTCAGATGAAAAACTGGTTGAAAAGCACATGGGGCAAACCAGCTTTAACAGAAAATAACTTACCTTAGCCAGAAATCACAAAAGTATATAAATAGCTAAGATTCACTTTCAAAGTCTGAAATTCCAACTCAGACAGCAAGCCATCAATTTTATAAGCACAGAATATGACAGTTTAAAGGATCTTTGAGTTACTCGATCTAACTTCCAATTCAAAAGAGAAGGATGTCACTCGGTAACAGGTCACTTTCACTAAAAATAAAAATCAATACCAATTACCACATTTACCTTTTGTAGCAAATCTCATGAATAACCTATTTCCTTTAGCAAGTTTGTTAGCTGGACGAAGATCGTTTCTTAGCAAAGACTCTTCTTCTACCTGAGACAACGTGTCCAGCTTAAGAGAAAAGAACATTTTCAATACAAAAATTAGAGCCTTTTTCATATTTATGGAGTAGCAAAATTATTGATTAAGGAAGCAATCTGCCTTTAATAACACCCACCAGCATTACTGCAGAACGTCTAAGTCAGAGGTCTTCCCTGACCACCCTGTCTAATCATCTCCATCTTTCTCTATCCGCTTACCCTTCTCTATTTTTCTCCACAACACTCATCACTTGTGGACATTATATTATATACCTGCATACTGTGTATTGTCTGTCCTCCCCACTAAAATGTAGACTCCAGCAGAGCAAGGACTTTGATCTGCTTGACGCTATATCCCCAGCACCAAGAATCTGGTATATTTAAAGATATTCAATAAATAAGTTTTAAATGAATACACTTTAATATTTCCAACAATAATAGATACTCCATTAAGAAATATGCCAATATTCTTTAATTTTACTGATGAGATAACACTCTGAAGTATTTCTCAATAAAAACATTTCTTTAACACAGAAGTGTGAGTACTAAGATCTTAAGACGAAGCATTCACTCCAGCCACGGGAACTTCAAGGCCAAGAGTCTGGTGCCCTCTCAGAAGGTGTAATGGTGGAAGTCAGAGGAAGAACACAGCTCGCTAAGTCTTTAAGGCTTAAATAACGCGACAGGAAGCAAGTGTTTACAGTGCAACCTTCCACACATCTTTGTCCTCTTACTGACCTCTACATCACTTGAGTTCTCATCTTCAACTTCTCCTTCTTCAGCCTCATCATCATCTGAACTGTCTTCCTGTTTGTCTAAAACGGAATGTGAGGGACAAGATGAACCTTAACATAACTCCATCTCATATATGTTAAAAGTCTAATATTTCCTCCTCCTCTTAACAAATGACCCAAAGCATCATAGCTTATTTCAGAAATAGCTGGCGATGAGATGCTATGTAACACTTTGCATAGAAACTCAAACTGCAAAGAACAGGACTTTTAGCTTCAAAGCCCCTCCTTCGTGGTCAGTTACCTTTTTTACTTTTCTCAGATGACTTGTCCTCACTGGCATCCCTGCTTCTTATCTTATCCAGGGCTGGCAGGGAGCTCATGTTGATAAGGGCTCGTGTGGCTGTTATTTCATCCAACCAAACCACATTACCTAAAATAAGATGTAAAATAACACCGTACGTCGCGTTCAAACGGTAACTTTCTTGAGGGCAGAGAATATATCATATTCATCGCTGCAGTGTCATTCAGCTGGCATCAGTAAGCGTACAAACCAACTAGGAAAGGAAGTATACAGAAAGTGGTAGCAAAACCTCTGATAAAGTTAGCCCAGAGCTGCATTCCCAAGCTGGGTTCCACAAAAGAATGGTCAAGTATTCCACGAAAAAGGCTTCTGTATATTAAAACCGCCTGGCACACAGTGTTACGCACAACTGTTAGCAGTTCTTGACAATGATGACGACTGTCAGAGAAATTTGGATTATCCCTTATTCTTCTGCCCTCTCCGTGGAAGCCCTCTGCTGTCCCTTGTCATCTGGACATACTAAATGATCTTCCCCTGTTATAAAGTGTGGCTGATGATGGCGCCCATGGGATATATACAACGGAGGCGTGACAGCCACTTGGCTTTGCAGCAACCAATTTAATTTTATTCTTAGAGAATTTACCCAAGAAAAAGGTTTTGAGAACTTTAACTTTAAAGCAGCACTTCTCAACCTTATGCTATCCCTATGTCTCAGTTTGAGAAATGAAGGTCTAAAGATTCTCATTTCTGTTAATAATATGCCACATGGTCTTGAGCAAATAATTTCCCTCCTCTGCTCCTCAGTTTCTGATGTACAAAATGAGGTAGCTGAACTGGATGATTCTAAGGGTCCCCCTGACTCTAATATCCCTTAGCTACCAGTTTAATGAGTTAACTCAGAGGTTAGCAAACTATAACCAGTAGGCCAAATCCAGCCAACCGTCTGTTATTTATTTATTTATTCATCCATTCATCCATTTATCTATTTATACTTGTACCAGCTGTATTTAGTTATAACTAATGTACAATAAACTACACACCCACCACCTGTTTTTGTAAATAAAGTGCTACAGAAAACAGCCAGGCTCATTCAATTATATTGTCTATGGCTGCTAGCATGCTACACTGGCAGAGCTCGGCAGATTCCACAGAGACTGCAAAGCCTAAAATATTTATTACCTAGCCCTTTATAAAAAAGGTTTGCCAACCCCTGATTTGGATGGTCTAAGTTAAGCAAAAAGAAAAAAGGAGAAAAATCTTTTACTCAGTCATGTTTGTTCTTCTTTCAATGAAAGCACTGAATTAACATCTAAAGAAAGCAGCTGGAAAGACCAGGAAACCAGGAAAACCAGGTCAGCAAGCTGGTGCTGAATAAAGCCAGAGGAGAAGTGAGTCTACAGAAGAAGCCAGCAGAATCGTTACCAGAGCTCAGGACAGACTTGGACTGGGAGGCAAGTTAAAAATTACAGTTAGCTCATAAGCTGAACAGCCCAGATTAGGGCAAGCAGATGAAGCTCTAGAAAACACAGTCCAAAGCAAGCAGAGACAAGAGGTCTGGCACAGTGTCAGAGGTTTCTAGTCTAGTATCCAGGTCAGAGACAGCCTGCTGAAGAGCTGTATGGCAAGCTGCAATGACACAGTCTGAAGCCTGGAAAACGCAGCCCCAAGTCTACACACTTGGACCCACTCCTTTGGTGGGAAACTGTGGGTGTTAGAGAGGCCTCAGTCATGTACCCTAGACTCGGATGCCAGCAACGAACCTCCTCAAGGTTTGATCACCACCTCTGAGCTGACTCAGAACACTCCTGGGGTACGATCTGGCAGATTGGTTAACACACTCTGGTTCTTGTCAGTGGGCAATGCTTTCTCTCCTAGGCTAAGGGCATAGTCTGGGCCACAATCATTCACCATTTGAGATGGTAAGAACTCTCGTATAATCATAAACAAAAGCACAGTCAACGGAACATGTGAGTGTACTTACAGGAGGTATCATCCAGCCACTCGATGTGAGCAGGGGGATATTCTTTAAAGTAGGAAAAGATGTCCTGGGTACTCATCTCATCTACTCCACAAATGTAGATTGTCTCCAGTCTCACTTTGGGGATTGCTAGAAAAACAAGACACAGAAAAGATGACAGATTTTTCCTATCTGCTGTTGCACATCTCACCAGTACCTTTCCGTAACAGTTCAGATAATAGGTGTTCAGAAAAGAAATAAACTGAAAGAGTTGACAAATATTTCAAAAGAAAATGGGACTTGATGGTAAACTATTTTAACTTTTTATCACAGAATAATAGTATTGAACAAATAACTTAATTCAGGACAGGTCTATTAGGCTGAGAAAGACTAAACAAATGGTGTTGATAATATACATGATACTTCCCCTCAAACTAACCTGTAGTAATTAGAGCAATCCCAAATTCAACAGGATTATCCATTAAACTTGATAAGCTGATTCTGAAGTTTTTTAAATGTTATGTCAAAAAGAAATGTGTGATAGTCAAGATAATTCTGAAAAGAAGAGATGTTGCCCCTGGATGGAAAGCAAAGTATGAAACTAGAGCAAAGAAATCCTACAAATCAATAAGAAAATGACAGCCCCAAATAAAAATGAGCAAAAGGACACGAACAAGGAATTCACCCAAAAAGAAACAGAAAAGGAAAACGGTCATATGAAGAGATGGTTGGCCTCACTACTAATCAGGAAAATGCACATTAAAACAAGATCTCAGTTTTCACTGACCAAGTTTTTAATTTATGTCTTTTTAGTATCAAATGAGTGGCAGTGTGGGGCAAAGAGCTGCTCCCTCTGCTGGTGGCAGTGAGAACTGGCACAGCACCTCTGCAGGGTGGGCTGGGAGCATTTACTACAAACTTAAGCCCTACAGGCACAGGAATCCTCAGTACTGACCCTGAATACACGTGGGTTCAGAGTGGCTCTCATGGAGATGCTCACTGCAGCACTATCTTAATAACCCACGATCTATTAGAGTAATAAATTATGGTTTATCCATATTAAATGAATCATGGTTTATTCATATTATAGAATATTAAGCAGTTAAAAACAATGATTTATTATATACCATGGAATGATTCTAAGACATATTATTGAGTGAAAAAAGCAAGAGCAGAAAAATACATACATTAAAAAAATTAAGGGGAGGGTAGAGCTCAGTCGTGGAGCACATGCTTAGCATGCATGAGGTCCTGGGTTCAATTCCCAGGACTATCATTAAAAAATAATAATTAATTAATTAATTAATTAATTAATAAACTTAACTACCTCACCCCCAAGAAAACAAAAACATTAACACAGAAACACCACCATATATTTTCTAAGGGTACATATTTGTGTACACAAATACCTATAAAAAGAATTCACTCCACACTGATAACAACTGGTACCTCTGGAGAGAAAGAAAGGTTAAAGGCTGCAGTCAAAAAGGAACTTAGAGCCTTACCAGAACTGTGTTAACTTTAAGCACATTATTTCACTTGTCTTTTTAATTGTGAAATGTCAATTAAGTCAACAGTAAGAAAAAGTATTTTCAGATACCTATATATCCATCACCTAGCTTTATGCATAATTTCTTTTAAAGATTTGAGGCAAATATAATATTACATATAAAACTAGGGCCTGTGTAAGCTCTCCACATCCCTTCTCTCCCTGCCTTCTCCAGAATAATTCTGTAAAGAATTCAATGTCCATTACTCCCAAGTATGTTTTTATATATCATATATTTTATTTATAACAAATGAACTTGAAATACATGTGAATACTTTCCGATGAAAATTATTTTTAATTTTTATTTTTTTGGCATTTTGAAGAGTAAAAGATAAGTCTGATGGGAGCCCATGAGGTGTGGCCAGGATAAAGCAAGAAAGTACCTTCCTGACAACCCAGGTTCATCAAGACTTATGAATCCAAGCAATGCAACAAAGAACAGAGGCCCAAATGAGATGGAGGGCCACACTCTAACACACAGGATGAGAAACAGAAGGGGTCAGCCCAGGGGGCCTTCTCAGTTCTTCAAGCCAAAGGCCATGACTTTGGAGGAAAAAATCCTATGGGAAGTAAAGAGATGGTTCTGAAGAAGACAACAAACAACAAGGAGAACTCTTAGTGATGGTGGAGGAAACAGAGTGAGGAGCAGGCAGAAAAAATCTTGCAGGAGATGCTGATATGATACAAAGAACTGAATCATATATGAGACAAGCAGAGAAAATAAGAACCAAGAGAAATGACAAAAACAAATACCAAGAGTATCACAGTGTTGTTCTAATAAAACACTACAACAACATTAAAAAAAAAAAACTCTACAGGTGAAGAAAGAGCTTAAAAACAAAAGGTAAGAGTATAAGGAACAAAACTTCCTGGCCTCAGACGTCTAAATTTTAATGTAGAGGGAGTGGTATACACATCTAGAAACAGACAGTGGACAACCATGTTCAAAAGAAGCAGGTAAATGTATACAAATAGCAAATCATTACGCTGTATACCTGAAACCGTGTTATATGCCAATTATACCTCAATTAAAAAAAAAAAAGCTGGTAAAGATAAGAAAGACATACAAAAGCCATACCACTGAAGAGAGAAACTAGACTCAGTCGGCTGGAGGATAAAAAAGGTTCACTCTCAAAAGAGAACCAAACTGACAGTATGGCAAGATCCACTGGAGATGGGAACTTTGCTAAGCTGAAGGTTTGATGGAAGTCTGCCAAAGGACAATGCTCAATACCACCTCACCTTGCTGACAATGCTGCTGCTTAAAATAAAACAAAACCACAAAGAAGGCACCTAGATTTATGACCAACTGATGGGAAAGGACTAACGGCTGAGGCGGCAGTGAACAGACGAACTGGGCATTTACTGAGTGCTGACTACAAGTGAGATGGTGAGGGCGTCATCTTGGATTTTCTAACAGGAAGAAGACAATGAATGACAGGACACAGAACTCAAATCTTTTGGAAAGTAGATTTCTGAAAATGCAGAAAAAAAGTAGCCAATCCCAAAGCCTCAGATTAGAATGATGAAAAATTTGGAAGACAAGAAATATAGTAACTCAGAGTGTAAGAGGCGATCCCAAGAAAAGAGAAGGCAGCAAAGCTTAGGTGAGCACAATTCACCAAAGAACACAAATGGCAGATGGATGAAGGGTAAATGTAAGAAATCGAGGAATCTGCAAGAGTAACACAAGGCTACACAATGCCGTGGAAAATGCTGACGACAGACTGTCAAGTGAAAAGGAAGAAAGCAGTATGACTACAAAGGGAAAAACAAAAATAAAGTCCACACCGAGAAAAGATTAAAAGGAAATACACACAATGCTGACAATGACTGGGTTTGTGTGGTGGTCTGTGGACAAATTTTCTTCTTACTCTACTTTCCAAATTTTCTTTGGTGGACATGAATTGTTTGTCTGATACCTAATGGAAAAAAAGGTTATAATCCAGAGTACATATGTTCATCAAAAACGCTAATGGTGGTTTTTGTGTTGTTTTTTTTTAAATGTTTGGAGCAACATTGCTTTGGGAAGATGATGCGGAAAAAGGGCAGAGCTGTTGATCTATTTTCGCTCTGCTACTAACAGTAGAACAGCTATCATTCAGTAAGGACTAAAACCAAAGACAGGTGCTCACAGCTTTAGAATTAGTTTTAATAGACTTAAACTTTCTCGTCTAGAATTACTGAATCCTGCTGTAATACAACTAAAACACACAGCAGTGATTTCAGAACTAGGTAGTAATCCCTAAGCAGTTGCAGGGAAGGAGCAAAGTCCCTTAAAGCCTAGAGAAGGACTAATCCTGCACTGATCTTCATAAAAGAGGAAAAGAGAAATTCCAAAACTACAAATTGAAAAGACTGTCATTCTCTAAAATTTTTTTAAAAAAATAGCTTATCATACAGAACCTATGATCCTTTAAGAAACCAAGTCCTTCCCAGAGGAAATGACATGAGTTCACTACGGAACAAGCCAGCTCACCTAGTCTCTTTTTTGATCAGATTTCCAGGCCAGGACATTCAAAGAACACTGCAGATGGTCTTCTATCCTGAGTTCATTAAGGCATGTAATCTAGTTCCTCAGGACAATAAACCCAATAACAGAATAAGATTCTAATCCATGGATCTATGTATCACGGCATGGTGCGGGAGTATCCTGTTTGACATTTACCAACAACTAGATGAAGATGCAGAAGCCACGAATACCAAAGTGAGGAGTGCAGCCAAAATGTTGAAAGGCAGAGTTAAGATGAAAATTAACTCCGCAGGCTAAAATGGAGTCTTGAAATCAACAATTAACGGAGATAAACAAAAAGTGCCTCAAGAACAAGATGAGAAAGACTGTCGTGATGGGTGCAGTTCCTGCGGGAAACACTGGTGCTCTGGTTGACCAGACGATGAAGGCTGACTAGACAATGACGTGGCCAGGACAGACTGCTCTGCCGTGCTCTCCACGAATCCAACCATTTCTGGAATCTGCACCTCACCTGATGAAGGGCATTTAGAAACTAGGAAGGGTCTAAAGGAGGGAGACCAAAAAGTCATGTCACATGATAAAGTTTAGGGAATGGGCTGTCCATTCCTTCACCTGAAGAGTCATCGTGTGAATGAGGAAAGGACTTAACGTTGTTCTGAGAGTCACACATAACCAATGGACAGAAATCACTAGAAAGCAACTTCTGTTTAACATGAGAAGGTCTCCAAAAACAAGACTGACTGCCACATAAATAGTTCTTATGAAGGAAATGTTCAGACAGAGGCCAAAGGACCATTGGGAACCTTTCCAAGAGGCCTGCAGTACTTGGTAGGAGGTAGGATCTAGATGACCTCTAAGGTCCCTTCCAACCACAAGCACTTTGATCTTGGAGATAAGGAGGTCGAAGCTGCTTAACACTGACTAAGAGCAGCAGACTGGTCTGCTGCAGCACATCCCAACTACGTCCCTGAAGCTGGCACCGAGATTAGGAGCACAGGCTTCAGTCCGACCAGCCTTCAAATCCCAGCCTTGCTACTTACTAGCTGTGGGACTTCAGGCAAGTTTCTCTACCTCACGGCTCCTTCCTTTCCTCATCAGTAAAACAGAAACGATACTTTCCCAGAAACAGGGTTGTTGAAAGGGTAAGTTAACCACATAGCCGAGTGACTGGTACATAGCAAGCATTTATCAAATAGTATATTGTATTACTATTAGTGTTAATAATAAGAAAAAATAACTTTAATTAAAAAAAGAAAAAGAAAAAAAAACTTGACAGCTATAGTGGTTGCAGGAATCAAGATGTTTATTCCAATGTCCCCATTCTCCCAAGAGGCTGGGCCACTTAGATGACTGGAAGATGGGGAATGCCAGATAACTGTAATAATAACTAACATTTATCGGGCACTTACTATGTGCCAGACACCACTCTAAGAATCACATTTTGTTACAGCATCCCAACAACCCTATAAGAACCAACGTTAATCTGCCTTTCCAGATGAAGAAACTGAGGTTCTTAGAGGCTAGATAACTTGCTTAAGGTCACAGAGCTACAAAATGACAAGTCAGGATTTGAATACAGGCCATCAGGCTTCAGAACTCAGCTCTTAACCACAATACCAACAGTTCTTAGTCCTGACTATACACTAGAATTACCTGGGGAGATATCAAAATAATAACTGTCTCTGAGATCTACCCAGACCCCTCCACCCTTTCTGTAATTTAAATTGATCTGGGAAAGGCAGCAGGGTTCTCTAGAGTTCAGGAACACACTCCAAGGCCACACCGCCTCCTGAATCAATACCAGGTTGTAATGAGCAACTTCCCCAGATGATATTCCAGGCAGCTGTATTGTTTTTTATGAGTATCTTTGGAACGATGAGATGGAGATTGCTTTTCAAAAAAACAATTTTTTTAATTAACATTTAAAGCGATCTTATTCAGGCAGGTAACACATTCCCATTTTACTGTCGGACAAGGAGAGCGAGACCTAAAAAGATTCCCTCTTTTTTTTTTTAAATTTGCTCATGTTCACTAAGGAACTGAGACTAGATCCCAGGGGGGTTCAGCACCCTAAAGAGCCCCAATGTAGGTGGGAGGAGAGAATGGAGTGGGTAATTAGGGATGCTTCATGGAGAAAGTGACATCTGAACCAGACGAAGCGTGGGACGAGGAAGGACAGAGTGATAGGCATGAACAAGACCAGAGGCAAGATGTCTCGAGGAATGCCCACAGGACTAGAAGTAAACAGGTGTGGTGAGACCACTGTGCTTTCCAGGCGGAGTTGTATACAAGGCCTCAGACATCTGCCTGGGCCCAGACTGTGCAGGCACATGCGTGCCGAGCTGCACAGCTGGCCTTGGCTTTCACAGGACTTTTCCTGAAACAGAAATCTACTCAAGCAGATGCCTGGAAACCCAGCCTGCAAGGGAAGCAAGGTTGTATTTCCAAACTGAACTCATGATGCAGAAAAAACAGCAAAGCAGCATCCAGAGTTGAGCTCTGCATCCAAGCTACTTTGTCCACTGGGATGGACTGGGGAGGTCTGGGTCTCTGGTATCATGTCACATATTAAAAGGCAACAGGGCAAAGTAGTTAAGAGCAAGGCTTTAGAGTCAGATAAACCTGGGTTCTAATCCTGACTCCACTTGCACGAGCTATGTAAACCTCAGCATTCTCTAAGCCTATTTCCTTCTTTGTAAAATAAAAATAAAAATATATTCTTCATGCGGTTGTTGTGAGAAATGAACAAGAAATAAATATGTAACGTGCTAATTAACACACTGCCTGGTAAGAAAGCAAGTTCCCAACAAAGAGTAGCTATTCCTTCATTCATTCAGCATGCTTATTTATTTATTTATTTTTATTTGGGGGCAGGGATTAGGATTTTATTTATTTATTTATTTATTTATTTATTTATTTATTTATTTATTTAATGAAGGTACTGGGGATTGAACCCAGGACCTCATGCATGCTAAGCGCACACTCTACCGAGCTATACCCTCCCCCCTCATTCAGTATGTTTTTAACAAACAAGCAAGCCTAGAGAAAGTCACACAGCAGAGCACAGACCTTTAACGTGCACTCAGAGGGCTGCCTATTAAACCCTGCACAAATCCCAAATTTGCAAATACAGCAGAGGGAAACTGTTTGCATTCACGGAATAATGAATATGGCTGTGAACTCACTAAAAGGGTAGTAACAATTTTTCCTTCTATTTATAAACTGCTTTTGAAGACTGGAGTATATTATTATATATGACAATTCAGGGTGAGTTCTAGGAAGCAAAATACTCACCTAACAAAACACAAAAATTAAATAAAATCACAAAACTGAATCAAGAGAAGCACTAATGGTATTCCCCCCACCCCCAAACCTGAATCTCCTCAAGGAGAGTCTCACTGTGATACACTCCCACCACATTTAAAGGCAAAGAAAGGGTAACACTTTTATCATAAAAGCAGAAAATGAGAGAGTCCACAAAAGTATGTTCTAATCTCAGCTCTGCCACCAACTAGGTGACGTTCTCTGGGGCTCCTCAGACATGACAATCCCCTTTTTTCCAGCTCTAACATCTGAGACACAGCTAACAGCTCAACTTTAAATAGGTCACCGCAGAAATGGAGACCTCACAAGTTCCTTCCTTTGGGAATATTTGGATGAGGACTGGACAGGCAAGGCAAGACCAGAAGCATGAGGCCACAGCAGGGAAAAGTCATTCTCTGGAAGAATGTGGAAAAATTCTCCCCAAACACCCTGTACCTTTCTTCATCATGTCTCGGTCCAAGGCGACATTTCTTTGGGCAATATTTACTTCTGATCGAAAATGGAAGCGCTTGGCTCTCTGTTCTTTCTTTTCAATTGCTTCCTAGAAGGTACAGAAAAAGCCAAAGAAGTAAAACATGGAGGAGGAAAGTTAAATCACAAGCACAAAATGATGCATTAGTGACAAGCCTAAAATAACTCAGAAGAAATAAGCAATACTGTGCCTTCAATAATTTTTGCAGAGAATTGGATATTCAGAGTCAATGACTAGGAGGGTGTACACTATTAGGGTTATAACTGTAATAATCTCCATGATGATTCAATGCTTATCACTGTACCTGGGGCACAGTAGGAATTCAATGAGTATTTCTTGATCTAATGAGTAATGAATAATGCTTTAGTTCTCTGACATTTCATTTATTATTAGCAATCATGCAAACAAATTACAACTAAAGCATCTTAACATCTCAATTTTCCAGGTGCAGAGACTGAGGCACAAAAAAGTTACAAGGTTTGCTAGAGGCACTTCTGCAAGTAAGGGGGCAGATCTTTGTGATCTTAGTGCTATTTCTAGAAGTCCCACCACCACCCTCATTTCACATCGTCTGTGTGCATGGTAATCACACCTATCACATTATGTCTGCCTGAGCAGTCCAGTCCCTAAAGCTTTTTCTGCGTTTAAAAATAACACTGAAGCAAAGAAACTCCCTCTATTCTAAACTTGTGTCCATGGAATTGCCAGTTTTCGTCTTGAAGTGACAAGAAACACTGATGCTTTGCTGAAAAACAAAATAATCAGCTTCCTAAGTTTTTTTTTCCCCAAGAGCTAAAATAAATCCAGGTCCTACTGTGGGTTTCTGATAGCTCTTAGGAACCTTCACTAATTGTATATTGACTTTGCCTCGCTAATTGAAGGTCTGACTACACAAAGCTTGTGGGGATTGGTAAAGCAGCAACATTTCTGTTATTTCCCAATAGTTATGTTAATTTTCTTCACTGAAGTCTTCCCAGGGGAAACAACTAATCTTTGTAGCCTTCCTTTAGTAACGACTTAAGTACCAATCCTGGGCTGCCATACTTTCCCCCGCGTATGTTTCACATAATGGTAAACTGCGTAGGACTAAGAATAGTGCAATATACTTCTTTTTCAACTACAGTAAGAAAACATCTTCACTTTATTCTATTTTGTCAAAAAAGATGATCAGTTCTTTCTTCTGGCCTTCAAGCAATCTGAGACAGATTGAGACCCAGATAAAATACAAAAAGGTAAGCATGACATACTTATTTTTATTTTTGCTTTTATACATCCAATACAGTAGTTAATACAGTATTATTTATTCAGAATTACCATTCAAGCTCTGTTCCAAACTTAATTGCACACACTAAAATCAGAAAGAAGGTTTTAGCTGGATATCACCAATTAAAGCAACAAATAAGTACTTCTGTTTATAATAAGGAAAATGATATGCCTGGTTCTGTGAGGAGTTACGAAGAAGCTGGTAATCTAGTTAAAGCACTAACTAGATAAAAGGTAATACTCCCAGGTACGGAAAATAATTTAGTTGACTTGACCTTCAAAGTTTAGCCACAAAATCAGGAAATCCTATTTTTCTAGGCCAGCAGCCAGTGAGGAATAAAGACATTTTACTAAGGGCCTACTAATGTGCCAGGCACTTTTCTGTTTTGCTTCATTTAAAGTGGAAACAGTTTACATATTTTTAAAGAATGGACAGCATGAAAAAGCACTCCCAGTATAGAACTTCCCAGACATGGTTAAGGACAGGCATTGAAGGAGAGTGATTTTTACCTTCCCATGGATTTGAGAACACACAAATGCTGCCTGGATGTTTTCAGGATGTGTGAAGGCATCACTGTGTATTACAAAATTTAAATTAAAAAAAAATTTCACTCCAGCAACCAAAGGAAAAAGAAGGTGAAGAGTAAGTGCTGTTCTACAAGTCCTAGGGACCAAGTTCATTAAGTTCACCCACTTCTCAAAATGAATAAGGAAATCATGGTCTGTCTCACCTTGGAGGTGACATCGATTCCAGTGATGAAGCTGCCAGCCTTGTTTTCGTATCTTCTGCTTGTGTCCTAACACGAAGAGGGTGGGTGAGAAACGCTAACAAGCAACTGAGGAAATACTCGTGATAAACGACAAGCCGACAATCGATTCCTTCTGGAGAGTCGTTCTTTTCAGCAATCCTTGCCCGCCCCTGACAACCCCTTACAATGAGGAAGCCTGTCCCAGTGACTCTGGGGTAGCAACACACCACTCTAATGAGAAGTCTTTTCCAGATCAGAGCCTGTCCAAAAGCTAAAGTAATTCCATCTACGACATCACCCATATAAATGAAAATCTCAAGGCTTTCAGGAAAAACATTCAAGACGAGGCACACTTATCTTCCCCACCCAGATGGGACAAATTCATTGTGCCAGGTCACCAGATGGAGCATAAGTCTTCACCACACTGCAGGAAGTCCAGACTCACCTAGACCTCCTGGGGGAAACACAGCACAGTGCGATGAAAACAGGATGGGATTTGGAAGCCTGGGGACTCCAATCGCAGCTGTGACATCACTGACTACATGATACTGTACAATTCCTTTGGCCTCGCTGGGCCTAGGTTTCCTCCGTGGTCTCTGCCTGCCTTTCTGACCTCTTTTACTGCTCTCCCACTTTCTCCAACAAAACAACCTTGTTCCCATCTCAGTCTTTGTGCTTACTGTTGCCCCTGCTGGAAACACTCTCTTCCAAGTGTGCACACGGCTGGCTCCTTTCTGTCACCTAGGGTTCAGCTCAAATGTCACTTTCCTGACCATCCTATCCCATTCTGCTTCCTGCTCTGCACACCCTCCCTGTCCTCCACACACTCCTATCCCATTAATGTGTTTTATTCCCTTCAGAGCACTCACCACTATTGGTGAACTTATTTGTTTGTTTGTTGAACTTATTTGTTTACTTGTGTCCCTCAAATGGAACAAAAACAGCAAGGATGGGAGTTTGACTTTGATCTTGATCAAGCGCCTAGGACTGTGTCTGGCACAAAGCACATGCTGAACAGAATGAATGAAGGGACATCTACTTCCCAAGTGCGGTGATATTTAAACGATGTTACATAGTAAATGGCAGAATGCCACTATCTTAATTGTTGTTGCCAGAATCATTATCATTTGCTATCTTTTGTGCCCCTACCTTTACCTTTTCCCATAATTTCAGTTTAAAAGCATGACTTGCAGGCGTGTGTTAAAAAGTTCTTGTTAGGTGAGAAATTAAGTACATGAGAGAAGCCATGCAGGCCTGAGATCAGCCCTGAGAACCGGACACAGGACCCCCAAACCACGAGCAAAACACCTCTCACCATCCCCACTGTGATAAAAGACGGACCAAGGACCATTGCCGGTTCGCTGCTGCTTTGGTTTCATTAAGGGTCAGATGCTGAGGCCACGGTGTTGCAGTGGAGCTGCGTGGGACAAGATGACCCTCAAGTCACAACAGAAACACTGAGTTTCTGCAGCTGATAAGGCCAGCCCTTCCAAGGGAAACCGCGAGTGCTGCGTTTAACATACACCAGTCCTACCGGAGCAGGACCCAAAGGAGACCAGGATGCCGGTGCCATCCGACAGTTGATTCTGGGCCGCTCTGGGTCGTATTCCCGCCCGGGGCTTCCCCTTTATCTCAAGCCCCCAGATAATCCCATTCCCTCCTCAGCCATCCGCTTGCACAGACTGCCTCCGAGGGGCAGCGAAGGGGGTGTCCTCAACTACCCTCCAGCTCTCCCCCACCTCCCTCCAGCCCCCTCAACACCCGGATTTCCGGGCGCCCGGGCGTCCTTTCTCTCGTTCCCCGTATCTGCTCAAGCCTGGCGCCTCGCCCCCCTCTCCCTTCGCCGGACTTCCCCTGGCTGGGACCCCAGCCCCGGCCGCCTCCCCTTCTGGCCCGCTTGCGCTCCGGACACTCGCTCCGCGACCTCCTCCTCGCCCCCGCCCCCGCCCGTACCGGGATCAGTTCTTTCAGTGAGCGCCGCACCGGCACGATCTCCAGCTCGCCCTCCTCCACCTCCATGGGCTCCGGCTCGCTACGGTCCAAACCGGACTCCGCTTCAGGCGACAGGAGCCCCAGGGCCGGCCCCGCCGGGGCCTCCGCCTTCACCGACACTCGAAGGCCCCGTACGGCCGCCATCGCCGCCCGCCGGCCGCACCACTGAGAGCCGCCCCCACACCG